AGCAGGAAGACTGACACAGCATGTGGCTGGATCTTGAGCAGAACTTTTGTTCTGACTGTATTAGCTGCAGAACAGAACAGCTTTTTCTTCTGATAAGATCATGTACAAGAGAGTGTAATTCTGAGCACAGACCCCTTACACCAATGACTTAGAGAAAAGGTGAGGAAGAGGAAGCATTTTAGTAATAGGTAACTCTTCAGCCAAACAGGAGACCAGTTTCCTTAACTTATTAATGAACTGTCAGCCATTTAAATAATGTAGAAACTGCTAGCACTTGGCACTAAAGCGACTTGCCCATGATCATTAACTGCAGCAGAGGAGAGATCAGAATAGCATCCACAAACCGTTAAACGTAGTATCCTGTTTTGGCAGATTATGCACGCTCACTACAAAGTACCAGTTTCTCCAATAACATTTTGGGTTGGGTTTTGTTTGGGTTTTTTTCCTCTTTTCCTTTCTCCTCCCCCAAGCAACAGAAAGTATTTTAATCTTAAAAAACCCCTATCATAGTATAAACCAGATTTTTTTTAAATGCACACATTAATAAAAAATTGTTTATTCCCACTAGAAGGGCCATTTGTTTCAAAACAAATACTGTAGTTTCTTTAATCTGAGACCCAAAATCACCCTTATTAGAGTTTCCTATGCAGGAGAGATTTTGTTTGTTTCTATAGTAGAAATATAACAGTTTCATTGTCCTTTTACACAGCCTTTCATTTCTAAATTATTTATTGTATACAGCCTATTAAATAGAAAATGAAGTTCGTTTGGTTGGTTTAGCTTATTCACAGCTGAAATCAGATTGGTCTCCACAAATAGATGCTGTCTGAAAGTTAGTTATTTATGAGATTATTGTATGTTATTTTAAAAGGTATTTTGCCCCAAGATTATTTTGGGGTTATGTGAATAAAGCACATCCTTTCTCCACATATTTGCCATATATACTCTTAGTACTCTTAAGTTCTCATGACGTCTATAGGGAAAGGAAGAGATCTGACCCAGAATGGCATTTCTGCCATAAATGTTAGTGATTTATTGAGCTGTCTTTCACTAATTCAGTCACCTTACAGCTCAGGTTCTTCCTCACAAATCAGACCAAGTTTTCCCCAGCTCTGCACACAAGGCCTCTATCAGATTACTAGGTCTTATACACCCAGCAGGTAATTCTGGATTGTAAGTTTTACATAGGAGACAGCCATTAGCATTAGTTTAGCCTGGCAGCAGTCACCTATTGGATTCATGTTATGCCAGAGAACCCATCTTGTCCGTTATTCCATTAATTTATTGTGTTAGTTTTCAGTCTGTGCCATGAATAATCTGAATAAAGCTTTCTGTATGCTTCCATTTCTCCTAGATATTGATGAATGTGCTGAAAATGTTTGTGCTCAGCTCTGTGTAAACTCTCCAGGAAGTTACAGCTGCTATTGTGATGGCAAGAAAGGGTTCAAGCTCTCTAAGGACATGAAGAATTGTGAGGTAAAACTGCAAGATGTAAAATTCCATGCAGAAGATCACAAAGCTGGATATTTCTTGATGACAGGATAAGTTAGACTTAGAAAATAGAAAGCAATTTGAGAACTGATTTTAAAATTGCTGAGAAAGTGCTGGGGACTCTGGGCTGTGGTTTGGCTCACAAAGCAGACCCGGTGGGGATTTGGCTGCCATTCAGTTCATGCATGCTTATTTACAGGAATCCTGTCAAGAGAAGCTTGCCTTAGCTAGTCGTCTTTATTCCCTGCTGCTTCCAGGATAAGCCCCAACTTTCTCCTATCAAATCATTCCTGTTCAGCATTATCTGAGCCAGAATACTCCATTTGCCCATATGTTCCCAGGTTTTCCTTAGACTGTGCAAAAGTTTTCACTCACGCTTTCAGAATTACTCTATGCTTTGCTTGTTTGGGTTGAAAAAACTGGATTGTTTTCCACAGTTCTTGTCTGCCATAGCTTAAGAAAAAGCACTTAGTAATACTTGCCAGTTGAAGAACATCTTGCAGCCAAAATTGGCTGTTGTTGCTCAGTTCGAAAATTTACACTTCTTAGTAGCAGAAAGTTTGAAACTCTGGAGAATCCCAGTGCAAGGATTTTCTTGTGAGTGGTTCTCTCTATACTTTGAAAGGTTCAGGCAGGCTGAGACTTGTTACGTGAGTTTAGCTCAGATGACTGCCAACAAACAACCCCACCTCTAACACAGTATAACAAAATTTGGCTTAAGCTGTAGGGACAAGGTCTGGCTCAAGTTCTAGCATGTAGGTATTAGCTCTTGTTTGTACTCTCTGTAATTTAGTATCTGAACAACACTTGCAGTCATTGTATTTCATTTTGCTTATTCGTGAAACAGGAAGAACATCTTCTGGCCTCATTACATGTTATTTTCAATACTGTTGTTCAAAAGTGATGAACTCTATCTGGAAGCTGGTTTCAGGCCTTTTAATTGAAAAAAAAAAGTTTAATCAGCTGAAAATATGTCATCCAAAAATATATGTAGACTGGAGACACTAGCAGACATAAAATGAATTAGCCATAAAATTCAGGATGAACAACTATATAGTTAAGGAAACTGCTACATCATGAATACAGTAGTCAGAGTTTGGGAATGACATTGTTAACTTTTACCAAAGTACAGCATGTCTTGAGAACAAAAAAGCCCTTCACACCTATTCTCGATCGTTCTCTTCTGTAGGACTACTATACTGCCATCGTATAGAAGATATTCAAGGAGTGGTTTAAGGGATAATTTTAGATGAAAGAGACTTTTGGGCTCCTACTAGTCAATGAGACAGGTGCTCTAAACCACATTCTGCAAGTCTTCCCACCTCTCTCCTAGTTCCCTGTATCTAAAGGAAATCTGAGTGCTTTACTTTTAAAACAAAACTGTAGATGTTACTTTAATTATAACCTCACAGTTTCAGAAGACAAAGTCAACAATGCCTTAGAATGGATACCCGACATTTGTTTACTGAATGTTTTCCTAGTTTAAACTTGCACTACATATAAAATAGACATTATTGCTGGATATAAAAGTCTTTGTTTAAAACTTCAGGTAGATGAGTACCCGAAAAAATAAGCACCATTTTTTTCCTCCTCTCATTGCAACTGCAATTGGCTGACTGATTACTCACATTGACTTTGGCTAGAGCATTAGGATTAATTCCAGTTTTACATACTGTTGTAGGCCTTGCAGTTGCCACAAATACTTAGAAATTCTTTTGCAATTTTCCTGAGAATGTAGTCTTGAGAGCTTCATATCCCCACTAACAGTTCTCCAAAATATTAATTCAGTGCTATTCCAGCAGGA